CTGAGGGAGTTGCCAGGTTCACCAATATCCCCGATTGTGGAAGATATATTCATGGATAGGTGGGAAAACTTAGCGATTGAAACGTTCATCCCCAACCCAAAAGTATGGTGGAGGTATGTAGATGACGCATTCACCGTACTTAGAACACAGGATATAAATGGATTTTTCGAACACATCAGCTCAAAGGTGGAGGCAATTCAATTCACTTATGAATTGGAAAGTCAGGAAGGGGAGCTTCTAATGTTAGATTGTAGCGTGAAAAGGAAAGGGAATGGGAAGTTAAACACTAGTGTTTACAGGAAACCCACACATTTAAACCGATATTTGGATTTCCGATCATCCCATCCTATGTCGGCAAAAATAGGATTGGTGAAATGTCTAAGTAATATGGCACAAAAACTAAGTAATACCAAGGGAAATCTAAGACAGGAAGTGAGGCAATATAAGAGAAGCTTTGAAACTTAATAATTACCCTGATAAATTAATCAGGAAGTATGTAGGGAATAGTAAAATAAAATAAACAATAGTAGTGATAGTGATGATGATAATAATAATATTAATGACGACATGCATTTCAAACATGCACAGGATAATGACAACACCAACAATGAGTAATTTAAATTATTATCAGTAGTACTTCCATACAAAGGAGGAACCTTGGAAACCTTCAGGAGAATTCTTAACAATACAGGAATAAAAGTGGCATTCAAACCCACAAACTCAATTAGAAACAAGCTTTGTCGGTTAAAGGATCCTGTGGAGCCAATAAAACAAAACAATTTAGTTTATCTAATACCCTGCCGCGATGATTGTCAGGTCAGATACATAGGTCAAAGTAGTAGAACAGGAGCAGTCAGACTAGCCGAGCATAAAAACCTAGCAAAATCTAGATTAGTTGACCCGAATTAGATAAGAAATCTGGAGGATAGTTCAGCTATACCACTCACTACATGCAATTACACACAACCATACAATAGGATGGGATAAGATGATAGTTTTAAAATCTAATGTCACAGGGTGGAGGGAGAGATTGATAACGGAAGCTTTGTTTATCGAATCAACTGCAAACACGTGTAATAGGAGTGATTCAACACCTGTCCCAGACATATGGAAAATTCTACTATCCCTACGACAAATGGGAAAGAATAAAGAAAACTATAAAACGAAAGTTTCGAAGTTGTGTGATTATGATTGATGAAATGATTATGAACAGTAATAAGTTGTGTTCAAACGTCATCAATAGAAAACCGTTTCACTGTGTGATATATATAATAAACAAATTAATATGGAATTACCCATCTGACTGACTGTAGAAAACAGACGTGAGTAAAATGGCAGTGATAAACCGGGCTTGTTCAATATCTGAAGATAACTTACCAAAATTTCTCTTTTGAAATACACTCTTATCCCTTTATAACACTTCATTTAATAACTTATTTGAATTACACTCAACAGTTTTCAACAACCTCTTTTGTTATGATAATTGAAGTGAATGCGTGTGAAGTTGTTTGTTTTTTTAAGTGGACACAAAAATCACTCTTTACACTTCAAAATTGCTATCACCGCTGTGAATAATTTGATGTAAACCTGATTTAATAATCACTTGAAAAGAAATTGTTATGTCGTTCAATCTTTAAGTTCTACTTGAAAATGGCGGAGCCTACTATTAGATATAATGTACAGTCGATTAACAGGAAGCTTTATGCTTAGGTGTTATGCTTTTTGACAGTCATAACTATGGCCTGTTTCCGATCCGAAAGAGATCCATTTTCTTTCCGAAACCACTTAGTGTCAGAGTTGATAAACAGACTCTGATGATGAGTAGTAAACTAGGACGAAACAGCTGTCCAGTACTCCCCGGCTTTCAATGGTTCTCTAAATGATATCAATCCGTGGTCTAACCTGAATCAAATAGACTCTGTATTTGAACTAGTCAAAAGTATGTCATAGTATCGTGGAATGATATGGGGTAATTTTTAAAAAATAAGAGAGAACAAACATATTTACAGGATAAGAGGAGCTCATTTTTCAATTTCACGGTTTTTCATCATCTTCTGACAGCTTAAAAGTGGCATAAGTTATTTTAAATGCAAATATGTATAACATGCTTCAAAATTACTTCAACTGAAATGACATAGTTGTGGTACAAGGGATACGAACGAAAAAAGAGTTGATAATTTAACAACCAATTTATTTATAGATGTCTCTTCTCCCACAACTACTATTTTTTTTTTTTTATTTTGATTACAGCTTGATGCCACACCGTATTTTCAGTACAAGTATGGAATTTTCCGCATGGATATCGGTAGCCCAAATTTTGCAGGCCGACCATAGATATCGGGTGTGCGTCGGCAGGGGATCGAACCCCCGACCATGTGTATGGTCGGCGAGAGTCCTACCCACTGTGCCACCGACGCACTATGCCATTTGAGTTAAAGTAATTTTGAAGCATGTTATACATATTTGCATTTACAATAAGTTATGCCACTTTAAAGCTGTCAAAAGATGATGAAAAACCGTGAAATTGAAAAATGAGCTCCTCTTATCCTGTAAATATGTTTGTTCTCCCTTTGTCCAAACTAATCAAGGTAACTTATTGCATGGAAAAGTGGTAATGTATTTACCAAAATAATAATCGGTCAAAATGTACAGTAGAGAATCGACTTTTTGATTGGACACTAGTCGGTAACTAGTGTAATGTGTCTAGTCCTATCTTCGGTGCAGACTGAATTCTATCAGTCAAGCTTGCAATCGACTATTTAGGAGATATAAAATGGTGTGAGTTTCAGATATGCCACTTCATTGTACAACTTCACTTTACCAAAACATTTTAGATGTCGACTTTTACAATCCCGTACTTATGCTTAACACACTACTGTTCATATCTTAACACACAAGTATGATTCTGCTACTTTGGAATACAAGTTATCAATTGAATGTATTTTTCTCCAGAGTATTCTACAAACAGTTTCTCATTTCTGGTCAAGCCCGGCCGACAGCTGCTACCTTGACGTGGTGGTCGGGTTTGCATATCCCAATGACCCAACAAGCTACACTGGCTGGAACTAATGTTCCTGCAGGTCCTACCGTGCGAGGAAGACTGTTAAGATAGCTATTAGACTAAAAGCGGTTACCGGAATAGTATAAGATTTGTTTACACTATGTTGGGAATCTGTGGGCGAAGTCATACTGCTGGGGAACAGGGATGTACAGCAGTAAGATGTTTCCCTCAGATGACCAACATGGCAGCTATGCTGTCTCTCCACTCTGGAGAGAGGGGTTTAGAAAAGGTCGACCCTAAAAGTTGTACATTCCGACTTACCCTAAGGTGGTCTGTAACCGACTGCAAGTTACTAATACAGAACCAATCCAAGGAACCAGTTCATACAAGCCGTGTGTGACCGGCCTCAAGCAGTTGTCCCCTGTGCTCTGCAGTCACGCGACACTAACCCTCTTTCTGTTTCAGGTACCCGAAGAATCAATCAATATTTGCAAACAAAATAGAATCCCTTAACCCTCTCCTACTAACATAGTAGTGACACTGTTGTTTTGAACCACTTCGTTTTTCAAATTCTTCCAAACTCCTACTTAATATAACACATTTCCTTCGTCTCCATGTGCATTCTGATTGCAATGCACTCATTAAATTACTTTTCTCACTGCGTAACCTGGCCACTCTTATTCAACTTCTCTCTTATGACGATTAGTATTAGTCACTATTTAAGTTAGTGTTACTATCCTGTTGTCATAGGCTGCATAGGTAAACAATAAGTTCACTTATATATCTCTGATCACAGATTAATACCTTTTACAGCAGGCTATCTTATTATCCGCAATTATGATATAATCAAAGTTCCGCAAATTTCTTCTCCTAGTTATATCTTTGAACGCGATAATATATTCAACAGTTTAATATTAAATGCAGACGAAGTTTGCTGATCGATACTTCTCAATTCCACTTTTTACTAATGCTAAGAAAATTTTAACAATTTTTATTGACTGCTACCGAACATTTTGGGAAACGTTATACACATTCGAAAGAAATCCACACTTAAAATATAAGTGTTTCCACCGTCTTGTCTTGTCCGGTGTGCAATGGTCATTTTTGTATTCAAACATGTGGTACAAGAAGAGGAAATCAACTTTATCTCTGCATTGTCGTTCATCTACAAGTGTTACATAGCATGGCAAAATATAAGAGATTGATGTTTCAAGCAATAAATTTATCTGAAGATTGAACTATATCAGGTAAACTTGAATTCTTGCTGCGTCGAAAAGTATACTCTTAGTGAATAAGCGCGGAGATGACCTTAAATTCTGAGGGCAGATATGTTGTCTCAGTCACTTGCGTCATTGTTGTACGATGAGTATGTATACAACGGTGTAAGCTATATCACAAATAATATTGCTGAAAATAGTGGAGTATCATGACAACCGTTTGAAATACTTATCATTCATATCTTAATTTCGTATTGTTCTGAAGTCCTGTGATAACTTCATTACGATATTGTTACTTAATAAACTGCCCATTAATCACAACGTAATCAGAATGGTCAGTGTTTAAATACTTCACTCCCATACTGGTGAACGTTGTATCAGTATGTACCAGTTGTGTAAAGCAAGTAGGGTCATTTTATGTTTAATTGCTCTACTAATCTACTTATTAAAAACCCCGAGAATCAATGCGTAATTCTATAGTTCGTTTATAACCTCCGCTTACCTATCCAATGATTGTAGCTGGGTCCATATGAAAACGCAGTCTTATTAAAACTACTAAGCTAAATCATATAGAATGGAAATATCTAGTCAATAAATCTATTACTTTCAGTAAGTCATCAGAGAATTTGAATCAAGTGAAAGCTAATTTAGTATCTTTAACAACAGTTTGATCGAAATCGATATTAGACTTGTGTGATTGCATTATTCACAAGCTTGTGAACAGTTTACAATGCATGTCTAGATATTTTCCATCATAACAAAGTCAAAAACGATATCAAAGGTTGCCAATACACACATTATATTCTTATTGGGTATTCATAAAAACAGTGATATACAAATTAAAAATTTTACACAGAACTCAAAATATCTGTTTAACTGTTCTTGTTTGCTTGTATAGGAAGGTATAATTTAAACTCAGCAGGGAGCTCTTCATCTGAATAAACGCGATCACAAAAGTATATACGTCTTATCCGACAGTTAGCATGAATCTAAAAGTAAGCAAAAGTCAGAAAGTGTTATTCAACTGGTATCTTTTACTTAACACATCCTAAAAACCATTGGTTTTAAATAAAATGTAAAGTAAAGTCAAATCTAAACTCGTGACCCCATCGCACGTCCACCTGAATACATACTGTATAAAGCACTAGAGCTTTTTAATCAAGTGATTTCCCAAACGCCGGTCACATATTGCATAAACAAATACTCCTCATCTCATGGATTTATGTCGTGCGCTGATTATATGTTCCCTGTTTTTGACCAGTCCGGATGCTTGAAAAAAGTGAACAATATACAAACCTGTGAGACGAAGTCACTTAAGCCGGTATCAAAATAGCTTTTCTTATCGGAACATAGTCTCCAATCTATTCAAATCCCGCTCATTAACGCGATCACAACTTCCCGAGTACTTCAAGGAAATCACTGGAAAAGGAGAGGATGAACATTGGTTCCTATAAAAATCTCAAAAGAACTTTAGTGGTGCAGCGTACACAATACGCTTACATTGGCTGTTTAAGTGTGACATGGTTGGCTTATAGGTTGCTGCACTTCAAGATAATGCTGACTCTGATTAAGATCAAGCAGCCTTTAAAATAAAAGATCTACACAACTACGTACGCCTCTGATACCTACCTGCAGAATATTGTGGAAATAGAAATTACATGGAAATAGCAGACTATAGCATCCAGTCTAATCCCACTGCTGTTACGAAAATTCTGTACAAGAAGATGAAGTAACCCTAATTAAAAAGTATGATCGCTTGTCTGTAGTACATGTAACGGTTTTGTAGAGGCTGCCACAGGATGAACAAGTGATCCATGCACTGACAACTTTACTGTGAGTGCACACATTTTAAGTTTGTCATAGTGGTTCCTTTCATTATGATTCCTTTGGATTTTTATTTTTCCATACCTTTGAGCACTACATGGTGTGAAAACCTGAACTCCTGCACTTTGTGCAGGTTGAAAACTCTGTCTGCTCAGTGTCTACGGTCTCTATAACAGTAATTAACTGTAAACTGGTTGAGAGAGCAGAAAGCAACTGATTTAGACAACGAGAAAAACCCAACGAAGAGCGATTGTTTTGGATCAGTTTGCAGACCTTACGTTAAAGGCTATGAACCATACTTACTGTTCGGGGGTTGACGATACTACCTAGTTGCCCGGAGTAGACTAGGTGGGCCAGGAGTCGATGCCCCCGGAAACCATTGGCTGTATGCCGAGTGTTTTAGTCTATATGTACCATAAGACATTAAAAATTCTGACCACGCTGAATTGAAGTTGGAAAGTTTACTTACTACAAATTAGAGATGTTATCACATTTCCGTTTTCCTTTAATTAAGTTGTTTAAAAAAGTTGATATGCAAATAACTTCCCTAAAATCTTCATCCATATATTATGCTTCATGGGTGACTGATTTCATCCTATGTACTAAATTAGTAAGTTGACTAAATGTCTAAAAATCACAGGTCATAATAAATCCAGGGAAGTTATAAAACCTATAACGCAACAAGAGACACAAGGTGTATTGAGCTGAATTCATTCAGCACACCAGTTAAGTATTAAATAAGCAGATGGGGTTAAGAACTAATTATGTTGTTGCAAATTTCTACAAAAGAGGTTCTCGAGTTCAAAATAGCATGAGTCCTTCCTAAACACCACAGAAACTTGGGATCATAATTTTGATAGCTACCCGACATAACGTGCGTCGGTGGTATAGCGGTTAGGACGCTTGCCGACCATGCACATGGACCGGTTCGATCCCCGGCCGACACTCTTTACCTCGCTAAGCCAGAAATAATGCTGGTGAAGAGGAAAGGTTGGGCATGAGGCTAGCAACCCCATCCTGTAATAAACACTGCTACAGAAACTTCAAGCCACTAGCTTGAAGCCCTATGTTCCACTGGGAACGTGAAGGAAAAAAGCCCACATAATACAGCTTTTGTCACGCCCCAACACTTGCCATATTTCTTGAAGTGATGGCGGCTTTTGAATTTATCGACTAAGAGGTGTTATGGTTGTGAATGGACAGCCAAAAAACCATATCACACTAAAAAAGGCACTCTACTCTAGTTCATGCAGCTGTATAAACGCTTAGAGTTGTTATTCGAAGTGGTGACAAACCATAGTATCCGTCAGTGATGCCCAGATGCCTCTATTTCTACTTAATTTCATCATAAATGTACTAATCGATATGACCTTAATAGATTTTGGCGAATCGGGGATTGACTTGTTGACAGGAGACAGTTTGGTCGAATAGACATGAAACCCGGTTGTCTATAAAACGCATTCTACGCAGCAGTTTTCTGTCGTTCTTTATGGTTGTGAAACATGGTCATTGAAAGTGGAAGATCTGAATAGACTAGCTGTCTTCAACTACAGATCCTTGTATTCTTTCTCGCCTATCAAATGGTCTAATATGGTGAGTAACATTGAAATTGGGCCTATATTCTTCGCTAGGACCACAGCTACATCAGCAACTCTCAGGAGTTCCCCAATGAGCATACATCAACGTAATAAGTTTCGTTGGCGACTTTTCAAAGAATGATTGGATAATACCTTAATCTTTTCAATGTAAGTGGTTTCTGGGAAAGCTATGCAGTTAACAGTTGCAAGAATCAAAAAATTTTGCGGCTCTTTCATGTCTATGAAACACAGGTAAATCCACAAACCTGGACGCGTAATACTTCCACAAAATTAGTTCCGTAGGCCCGTTTCGTGAAGTCCGCGACATTAAAATATACATTATTCCAATCTGGTTCGAGACGCAGTGGCATAGTGCATATGAATGGCTTCACACGAGTAGTGCTTTGATAGTTGCTTGCTCTAAATCGTCTCTTGACACCCTCGTCGTCCAATATCTGAAAACAATGGGGCGGTCACAAAATGGTATACCTCAATTTCAAATGTGAAATACTTATTCAGATTTTTCACTATGAGGACAAGGAATGGAAGTTTTACGCCTAATGCTTTCCTCGGGTCTGCCGGACAGGTTATATACGTACTCCTGCAAGACAAAATAAAAATTTATAAACAACATACGAGACATTGCTTCCTAACAACTCCAAAACCAAAGACTGTATTTCACTGTCTGTTATCCTTTTAATGTGTCCATTACGAACCTAGTTATATTTAGGTATTCGGAAATTTCAAGAACCCAATAAGCGAACTTTTTTATCCCAAATTTGAAGGGGTTTTGTCCCTACACTGAATAGTATGGACAAAAAGCCGCTCTGGAATGTATTTCTGAACATTCTGTAGAGATGTGATATACAGCTCCGAAAACTTGAATAAAATTGATCCCAAACTATCTATAGTCTGGCAGGAAATCACAGGTAAAATTGCTTTAACCACATTAACAAATCATGACCCGGAGCACACTAGTTCATTTGAGCGCCACTAAGATTCAAGTAACAACAAAGCATTTCTTACGAATGGCTGCATGAAACCATTGTCATGCGGTTCTTTACCTTAATTTCGGAGTTTGCTGCTTAGATATGACGACCAAACAGTATTCACTGCCAAAGGCTAGTAAGAGAATATCCCAGAAACTGAATTTGAGTATGCCTTAACATCACTCCCACGGTATGCAAAGAACTAACTGTCAGTGGCACTCTTCGAACGTGCAGTCTCTACCTGAAAATTTTGGAATCCTAACTACATATATAGAAATTTCATTGGCAACTATTAGGAACTTAAACTACACTTAGAGTTCCATGACATTACGATGTAAGTTACAAAGTCCTCTCCACTCTCTTCAGATTTAGCGCTTTATATCGAAATCGGTCCCAGAGCGATTAACACTTTTTATCGACCAAATATGACTATACATATCTGTTCACAAAGTCATTTACCACAGGAGTTGGAAATACACTCAACATAAAATACTAAAAATAATGAAGTGTTTAGCCTAATCAGCTACAGTGTGAAGGAATCCCATATCGTATCTGAGTGTGTGTTATAAATCGAATGATCAGTTCGTAAATTTCAGACGAGAAAGAATATTCCATCTGATAACTTTTCTTTATTCTTTAAAGTACCATCATATTTGGGAGTTATAGAGGTTTCAGGAGTACTTTGGGGAATGTGTCACCTTAATTCAGCCGTGACTGAGCTTGCGTTGTGTAGTATTCTGGGAAGCCGTACACTAGTGTTGCTTTCTGACCTCGATTAGAGATAACGTGCATGTCTATTCTGTCGCCGACTGATATGCTAGACCCAAACTTTAGCAAAACGATTGACTGGCCCCTCAACCTGGCACACATGTGGTGGCCAACATGCACTTAACAGCACCGCAACTTACGAAGGTAGAAAATGATACTGACTACTATTCATTGGTGTACTAAGCCAACAAAATCCAGATAGATGAAACCACAGCATAGTGCATCAGCGAGGTCGTCGCTGGGAATTTATATAGTCTGTACAACACAGAACTGTATCGTAACTTGGTAGTAGCTAGTGATTAAGGGGTTCGAAATGATGAGGATGTAGCCGAATAGGAACCACGACTCCCTTATCATTTGTAAGGCTTTCTTCATCTACTGAATGACGAATAACTTCAAGTATGCTTAACTAAGTTTCCCAGCTTCATATGGCCGAAGAAGTACAAACGCTATCGCGTTTTAAATTTACCTCGCTTCTGGTTTTCTCTTTTCTCATTGGCTAGAACAGTAGCTGTCAAATGGATTTTTGATTTGCCATAAGCAAGTGCTGTTATGTATGGTTTTGTCTGGTTGTGTTATGGATGGTTTGCAAGCAACTATGATGAATATAAATGCAACATTTGACTATTCTAACGTTGTTTCACCGTTTTTCATACAGACACAACGCTTTTTTCGTTGTGCACTCTCTTAAAACTGGTTAGCCGTTATAGTGGTTATCAGTGACTATGATCCTATGGGTCTCATTGCATTTCTTGAGTTGTGATTATACGTACAACATTTTATCCGTCGGTAATTTCCCAGTCATTTAGTCTAATATTCTGTGTTTCTTGCGAATTGACTGGGACAAGCTATGGCAATAATATGCTTCGTTAGCGAAGCCCTTTCTTGAAGTTCATCGCAGGTATTCAGTGCGAGTGGAAGCGGCGTCACAATTACTAGCACCTAACCATATTGTAGCGGTAAATAATTCCCCAAAATTATTGATCACAGCAATCATCACTCAACATTGGATGCTGACCCTCACTGTTTAAGTCGACTTGTTTAGCTGAAGGCTTCCGGTCAAGCATCCATTCCATTTGGTACTCCGTTGTGTCACGTTCGTGCACGATCACTAGTCAGCTAAGCATTCACTTCAGTCCACGATTTGGTCCCGAAATTTCTCGTAATTTGGACGATCATTTGTGGCGCTTTGCTTTGTCTTTGGTACACAAGGAACGAATACTATAGAAGTTATTGGTATAAGATCTTGCGTTAGTATACTCCGTAAAATTCGCGAACGTCAATACCGTCAGCCTCTAAAATATTATATATGCGTAATTTGTATGATATTTTCTACACCATTATTGTGTTCCACACTTAAAAAGAGGTGTAAACTATGATTATTGAATTTATTGAATACCTAAGTCAAATGCGGTCATGCGTGTTAATCCTGTTGTTGCCTAATTAACGCAAATGAACTTAATCTGTATCGCTTTTAGTAATATCGAGTCGTGATGAAGTGGGAGGCAGACGTAGTCGCATTCGGAAAAAGACATCTGAAATACACTAACGAGTGTTTAACGGCTTATGACCAGATACATTTGCGTAATCAGTTGTAGGAATTGATTCTACATACAACAACAAGGGAAGGGAAGTTCACTCAATCACTTATATCCATGCATATATTCTTTTTTCCAGTTTGTGATACCGGATAACTTTGGATGTAGACGTACAGTTCTGTTTGCTTGGATTGAGGAAGAATTTAAACGTGACGTAGTTTGGACACTGGGCACTTTCCGTCAAAAAATGGGAGATTCTTCCCAGACGAGGACTTTCATCTTCCAATGTGCTCAGACAATACATGTTAATAAACTTGTTTATTTCGCAGTGAAGTAAACTGTTTATCTAATGTTCCTGTATTCTATTTGATATGCTTGAGGTGGGAGGACGGCATGCTAGACCAGTGCTTCCTAGGACATGAAATTATTACAATGCGTAAGTGTAATTATGTACGAACACTATCGGTCAGTATAAGTGGTGAATTATAAGTACTTTAGTCAATCCTGAACATCTGCTTAAAGTTGCGCGAACACGTCTCCTAGTCATAGGCGAATCTGTAGGGACCAAAGCCGAAACCCTAACCAATGTATTTGAAAAGTCGGAATAGAACTCAGGCACTGCGGTGGAGTCTGATCTCGTATAAGATTAAGTGTACTCAAAGGCAGTACATTACTATTGTTTCACTTAAAGAGTGATGTTGATCCATGCAAATGCGTGTGTTAAGGAGTTATTCCAAATGAAGTCTACATGAGACGAATAACTGAGTAGATGGAGCTGTAGCAATCGTAGCGATATTTCACTTATATTGAATTATGCCACCAATTACTTTCCCTGATCTCATTGATAAGTCAATCCTTCATCTCATCATGATGACAAATTTACTTTCATTTAAATGGAATAAGAAAAGTATGGTAAACAGAACGTTAGGTACATTTAATGAAAAATATTAACAAGCAAATGCCATAATTATTTCGGCGGTGTTGAATTGCTGTGACCAGATTGACTGATGTCACCGGGCTTCCAAAAATAAGTGAATAAATTGTATTTTTGAATCCGTTGCAGTTAGAAAAAGTGATATGAAAGTGAAACGCTTTATATTTACCTACCTTTGCTGAAAATGGTTCATTCTCCTTTCTCATTCTGTAGTCATGACAGCACTCTTTTGTGATTTCCACTATCACATAAATTGCTCTTCTCGTCAAGTATAGCACTAAGCAAAAGACGAACCCATGTTTTGGCGTCATTCTGAACTTTGAAGGATGTTTCACACATCTAAAAGATAGTAACTATAGAGACTGGAGTAACACTTGTTTACATCTGTTCAGAGTATTTTCTTTGACTCAGCTTCTTATTATCAATTCGCAGTATTCCTAGTGACTTTTATGGGAAGCTTGATTTCGTGTTCATTTTCATCGACCGTCCCTTCATGGACAATAGCATGCAGCAAATACATATACTCAAGTATTGTAACCTGAACGTTACCAAGTCCCTTTAGACAAGTTGATTAATAGTAAATGGTGAAAAATTTGAGTTATAAATGCAACTTCTATATCTTTCGTGGCTACAGGTAATTCCTGAAGGAGCTCAGAATACCTTAGTGGTCTGAAAGTGAATTATTATCATTAGGAATGATACGAATTACCCAACAGGTATATAGAGGTCGGGTTGAAGCTGCAAGCTACTTTTTGACAGAAGGGTGATACTAATCGTAAGCAGTGTTACCTTTTAGAAGGACCATCTATTGTATTTCTTGATATACTCCATTGAATGACCAGCTGGCAGATTGTTCCCAGAAACTAAAATCAAAAAGGACAAAAGCATTTGAATTCACCATAAACCAAATTTATTTATTTCAAATAATACTTATCTACTCCTGTAGAATTGATGTGTTCCACATGAATAGGAATAGACAAATTACAATTACTAATTGTAAGCAGTGTTACATTTCAGAAAGACCATCTGTAGTACACTTCTTTTCAAATGCACACTGATACCAGGTTAAGTCGATGCCATGTGATGCATTAAGCAGTCATGGTCTTCCAAAATTTCATGTAACAATGTAAATTCCACTAGTATCACATATTCGGCTGAGCAGTTCTAACCATAAACTTCGTCAAAATGGACATAATCACCACAAAATTCAGCCGCTTGTCTCATTCATCGTATGATTTCTTCGATGTGTTATGAAGGATTTCACCCATCACAGAAGAAAATAAAAATGCTTAAGCTCCTTAGAACAGATATCTAACTTATGTATGTAAGCCTATTCCCCATCAAAAGCCTGAATCTTACAGAATAACTGTTATGACATTAACCTTTGCCTGTAGTCAATTTACGTCCTGAAAATAATATATTTACTCCTATCTATGTAGGACACAGCAGATTTACAGGCATAGATAAGCATTATTTTAATCATATAAATTTGGTTTATGGTGAAATTACATGGTTGCTGTCCTTTTCGACTACAGTTTGTGGGCACAACCTGCTAACTAGTCATTCAGTGAAGCACATCAAGAATTATAGAAATATTGTCTTCGCATTAACACGAAACCCAAGTATGTATTGCATGGATAACAAATACTTGAGGAAAAAATAAAGTTTGAAGTCAATTCCCTCATATAAATTTGGTGTGTGCGGCTCGCATCGTTTTCTTGATTTATATCCAAATTGGGCATTAATTTAAAATAAGTGATGTATTTGTA